AGTGGTATTTTTGTAAATAGACATCCCTAAATAGCATTCTTGTAAATATGCACACAAAAAGTAGTATTTTTGTAATTACCCAAAAAAAAAAAAATCAAATCTCAGATTTTGTTTATTCTACATCTTATTTGATATTTTACAATTACAAAACCTGCTGAAATTCAATTAAAAATTATAACGAGACATACTAAAGTTTTTCACAATTGTGAAGATAAAAAAAATGGTCAAAAAGACTTTGCAAAAGAGAATGGTGGAATCAATTTTCAATTACAATGAAACCACGAAATAATGAGTTAATTGGTAATAGTAATATTGCAGCTCTTATAGTTTATTAATCACAAAAACAAAATAGCGGTATTACAAAGCGGTGTCGCTTTTTTCTTTCGTTTTGAATTTTTTACCACCGTTTCTTGTCACTAATCGGATTAATATTTGGCCTCATGGAAATTGTGGTTTTTGTAGACTTTTGCTGGTTTATTTGGCAATTAGTCTTACGCAAAATCAAAATTCCACTCTCTAAATAGAATCCTCTTATGAGAGCATAAAATATGCTGTGAAATAACATAAAAATTAGTATTCGGAACTATAACACATGAAATTTGTTGTTTAGTGTGTAAAATTTAATAGATTTTTCTGTATCCAGGTTAAAAAGACATATTAATCGGCTCAAAACGAGAAAACATAAGCAGAGCTCTATAGTCTCCTCTGCTTTGAACGTTGAAAAATCGATCATTTCGTTCCATGGGTGCATCTATTGTCCATAACAACCTCTAATTGATTCTCTTTCAACAAAGGGAGTCCGACCCGAATCCTCGTGTGTGGACTGGTGTAGGATGCGACACAATAAGCCATCGGGTCACACGGATTCAAATCGGGAACAGAGGAGTCTCAGGAGCCCTAACTTCTGATCTAAGAAACCTCTCGTTTTTGACTGTTTTCGATGTCATGGGTAACAACTTAACCGGGAAGATCCCGAGTCTTGCTGGCTTGAAATCGTTAGAGAAGGTTTTTGTTAACGACAATGGCTTTACTTCGATCGATGCGGATTTCTTCACCGGTTTGAATTCCCTCCAGTTCGTGAATCTTGACAACAACCCTTTGCGTCCCTGGAAAATCCCTTTCAGTTTAACGAATGCGACTTCTCTTGCAGTTTTCTCCGCCGCCATCTGCAATCTTTCCGGTAAAATTCCGGATTTTAACTGGCGCGTAACATTCCCTAATTTGACGGCTCTGGAATTGTCTGGTAATTCCCTCGTAGGCGAACTTCCGATGAGCTTCGCTGGATCATCTGTTCAAATTCTGATGCTCAACGGGCAAAACCTCAGTGGGTCAATCTCAGTTCTGACAAAGATGCTTGTTTTAACGGAGGTATGTTTGCAGGAAAACCGGTTCTCAGGTACCATGCCGGACTTTTCTGGTCGTCTGACCTCGCTGAAGTTGTTCAATGTCAGGGGAAATCGGCTTACGGGTATTGTACCATACTCTTTAATCGGGTTGAAATCTCTTACTGATGTGGCTTTGGGCGATAATCTTCTTCAAGGACCAATCCCACGCTTCGTGGCTAAAGGCATTAGGTTTGATGGGAGAGGGCTCAATAGTTTCTGCGTAGATATCAATAGTTTCTGCCTAGATTCTTGTTTTACTTGTGATATGCGTGTAAACGCTCTGCTTTTAATCGTTGAAGCATTTGGTTACCCGGTGATATTTGCGGAGAGCTGGAAAGGAAACGATCCGTGTAATGGCATGTGGGTCGGGGTAACTTGTACCGGAGCTGATATCACAGTTATTAACTTCAAAGGCATGGGACTCACCGGCACTATCTCTCCATACTTTGCACATCTTAAAGCTCTTAAGGTTATCAATCTCTCTCACAACAATCTTTCCGGTACTATTCCACAAGAGCTCACTGAGTTGAGGAAGTTGAAAGCTCTAGATGTTTCGTATAACCAGTTGTCCGGTCTAGTACCGGATTTTAGGCCAAATGTTGTTGACACGAGAAAAATTGTGGCTTCTGTTATTGGTTCTCTGTTTGGTTTGCTACTTATTGGATTTGCTATATTCTTACTGATCAAGAAAAAGAAGCAATACCATAAGATGCATCCTCAACAACATTCTGGTGACCAAGATGCACTCAAGATTACAATAGGGAGTCTACATAATGGTAAAAGTGAAAGTGGACGTGTGTAATTGTGATCTCGTTACTGATTTTGAGGGACGCTACCGATATTTGACTCCATAATTCACTTTTATTGATTGATGTATGATTTGACAATAACTATTGTTTCAAATTTTATGAATTATCCATATATTTTTTTTTTGTCAACTAATTTTTGTGTTTCAACTAATTCCATACAGGTAAACCCAATGAAGAAATTGACATGTAGTGCATCCATGTTTGTATGGTACGTAGGCGGTAGGCAGTGGCGGAGGCACGTTAATTAAGTTGGGGCCAATGAACCCAACAAAATATTTTAGGTTAGTGTAAATTATCAAAGCCAAAATTGAATGCCCCCACTTGTTTAATATATTTTGTCTTCATCCTTTCATTTCACCAATTGCACAACTCATAAAAATAGATTTTTAAACCCAAAATTAAATTTTTTATGGTCCATTTTACCAAAAATAAAAATAAATCTTTATCTTCAAGCTAAAATAATATATTATACCATTATATAGTCCATTTCATTTATTATCAAAACTTTAAAAAAAACTTCAGCATCGTTTTTAATATATATTTCTTTATTTTTATACTTTTAAAAAATTTATGCCCCCAACGAAAAGAATTTCTACCTATACCAAGATGGCTTTTATGTACGTAGACATGCATGTAAAAGTACTATACCTGTATGGCTGTATCCATATACGTAGGCATGCATGTTATTTGAATCTTTTCGGTATTTCTATTTTATTTGGTTAATACATTAAAAGAGTTTGACAAAAACAAAAAAAAATACATTAAAAGAGGAGATAATTTTTTTAAAGAAAATATATTAGAATCCACTGTCAACATCCCATATCTTAATACTTATTTCTCAAGTATATGACCTCAGGCCACTCTTGATCAGAGTCAGAGGCACAGAAGAACCATTAATTTTCAACTACAACATTTACTACATTTCTGTATCAATCAATATACATAACGTATAACTCTTAATTGTAATAGAACAATATACATTTTAATTTTATGTACTAAACACAGATAACAATCACTTAAATTATAGTACTAGTTAGATATAATGTACGAAATGTGTTCGTGACAAAAAAAAAAAA